TTAGTGTGATGTATAGATTCTAGGCAATTGTATGAAGGGCTTCATTAATATAAACAACAAATCTACAGTCAATAGCTGAAAGTGATATTACTAGCATCATAGCTAGGCATTAGTGTGATGTATAGATTCTAGGCAATTGTATGAAGGGCTTCATTAATATAAACAACAAATCTACAGTCAATAGCTGAAAGTGATATTACTAGCATCATAGCTAGGCATTAGTGTGATGTATAGATTCTCGGCAATTTTATGAAGGGTTTCATTAATATAAACAACAAATCTACAGTCAATAGCTGAAAGTGATATTACTAGCATCATATCTAGGCTTTAGTGTGGTGTATAGATTCTAGGCTATTGTATGAAGGGCTCCTGAGAACAAATATTATATAGTACTACGAACTATATTTTTGTGAGATGAGATATATATAGAGGAATAATACATCGGTTCATATGTCAAGTTTGTCTATCATTGTCCATATTTTAAAATTCATATTTTTTGCTGCGAATGGCGTTTTTTCACCTATTAAATTAATTTAAATAAATGAAAAAATACATTCAGTGCATTTGATAATAACCAATAAATGATAACTAACCAAGGCTCGGTCATAAAATTTGGTCATAGCGCCATCGTACGACAAGTTCAGTATAATTTACAACTTGAGGGCGCTTTTAAAAATGGCGACCCAGTGATAAAAAATGAAACGTAAAACGTTTTGACGTTAATTTGGCGACGTTGTATTGCTGTTGTCGTGAATATTGTTCTAGTTATAATGCATCGAGCCCGACACGTCGACCCACACTTGAAATGAGTCTTCTGACAAAAAAAGGTATTAGAAATCTTTTTACATATTTAGTCTACAAATCAATGTATGTAAACATCCACAACTGTCGGTTTGCAAAATAAACGAGCAGTGATCGCGATCGCGGTTTTCAAAAAATCCTGTTTAATTCCATCCATTCCGTGAACCCGTCTGGTATTTGATCGCAACTGTCATTCGATGTTTTCATTGTTACACTCAACCATAGACACTATAGTAGGACTACACTGTCTATGACTCGATCAACCAACATTTTTGCGGATCCGAAACTGGGGTCGTCTCAGTTGACCTTCTGCTTCAGCTGCCTTCAGGCTGTCAGTTTTATCCAAACCGCAACCACAATCCCACTCCACCGTCATCGACCTCCTTCGCGGATAGCCTTAAACACGAATACTCGTAAAGATAATCTAATATCGTCGGAATGCGAAAACATATCACACCACTGGAAAACACAGGTAAAATTTGCTCCCCCCCCCAAAAAAAAACACTGAAATACTGAATTAATTTAATAGTCCTTTTGTTGACCCATTTTTACATGATGAGACCCCTCCCCCTCCCATATTGATCAGGACATCATTTGAATTTTAGCATTTGAAATTTGTGTGCATCAAAAATTGTAGCTACATAATAGTTTGTATTTCGTCATTGGTTTAATGTTTAGAAATATGTCATTTCTGATTTGAGTTATTCTTCAACTCCAATAGATCAGACACATGCCTTTACACATTCAAAATAGCATATTATTATACTGCAATTTATATAATAATTTATCCGTTCATTTTCATTGAGCAGGTGTTATTGCTAGAAAAAAACAAAAACAATGACTCATTATTAGTATCACCATAGTCCTATTATTAGTTGTTACCTTTCTAATGAATCACATCATTTTTACTCAAGCAGTATAACACTTTGATTATTGGCAGAAAATGGTCTCATAATTCACATGCTATCAGTCCACCTTCTTATTTAAGAGAAATCTAAATAAATTTAATTTCTTTTACTTTAGTAGAATCTTAAATTCAACCCTTGACCCTCTCTAATAATTCAACCACCTGAAAATAATTACTTACGATTTTCTTCTAACAATTCAGAAATCTCCAAAAATAATCCGGTGCAATTAATGGAATAATTTTGTATTCTAACCAACTCTGGTAAATCGGTTAATTCTCACTACTAGGAATGTTTATATGATTTCTGGATTCTACTGCATTTGTGAAGCCAAAATGTCACGAAACTCACTGACACTTTGTGTCGTAGACCCCAGAGAAATTTTCACTGACTCTTGAAGTTCACAAAAATTTGAAGTGGTTGACAGAATTTAACCATTACTGGAGTCTTTAGCATTCATGGTTATACAAAATAAAAATTATTTACCAAATGAGTAAACTCAGGCTAATATGTCAAGTCATGTGACCTGTCAGGTCATGTGACTACATGTATATATATATATATATGGTAGCTAGCTTACAATGAATAATTACTTGAAGAAAAATTACTCTTGCAGCTGTAAACCGTAACATGGATTTCGGCTCAGTTCACTCAACGTTATAAATTTTCTATAAATCTAAATATTTATGACTTGGAATGGCAGATGCTCATTTGTTTGAATTCGTGCACTGACTGTAACTGCGCTAATATCTGTCTGATTGCTGTGTGAGCTTTTCACGGAATGGAGATAGGTCTATGCCTAGCCAAGCAAACCATCTCACTTGGATAAGAATGACACTGATTTCAAATGAAAAGTGTCAATAAATATACAGGTATATTCTATAAAATACTTAATTTTAGCTAGAATTAATTTTTGCTGAAAATACTTTTTGGCTGTTTTGTATGGAATTCATTTTCACTGATTTTTGATGAGTTGAATGTAAAATATATGAAAAAAGGTATATTCACTTGATTTTATTTTTCACAGAATCATCCATTCAGCAAAAACAGCGATAATTAATTCCAAGCGAAAATAAAGTATTTTACAGTACTATCGGTGGTATTATATTATGATACAGTGCGCTGTCCATTACTGAAATGCTGCGTTTACATTGGTTGATCAGTACCATGTGCTACCCTGTTAACAAACTTCCCCCAATGCTCAATTGTAATTTTGAATATTAGATTACCATAGTTTATACATATCAGTTTATTTTCTAGAAAAAAACTGCAAGAGGGAGCAATGTAATTCAGCCGCGGCACCACCAAGTAGGGGAGATAGGGTTCTCCCTACCAGGCTGTGGAGTTTTTGATAATTCTAAGTTAAAATGGAGCATTCTATGGCTTCCTTGGGGCCGAAACTACTATCAGACAGGTCACAGTTGAAGACTGTAATCCCTGGTCGATCAGAATTTTATGGTTGCCAGAGGATCTGCTCCGCAGGGTAAGGGGGCGCATGGCCATGGCATGAGGGCGCTGTGCCCCTGTTCCCTTGTTTTAATAAATCCCTGCATATTAACAGTTTATAATATCACAGTGAATAGGCGAGAATCACTGCACATGTATGTACTACACATTATGTAATGTCATGTTCCTATGCAGATGATAACACATATATTGTATTTGCAGGTCCTTCATCCATAGACGATCATGTACAGGACAAAATAAGGAGAAATTTGAGTAAAGAATTATCAAGAGTTGTGAAAAAGGTGACAGTCTACTTTATATTCGATACTCCATCCAACTTGTCATTTTAATCTCTGTAAGATTAGTGTGTACAAAATGGATTTGATGTATCAGGGGTTTTCACAAAATTTTGAATGCATTTAATAACAGGCCATCATCCTGTAACAACAGACCAAAAAAATAAATAAAAAGGCTCTTGGCAGTCGGGGCAAGAAAGTACATGGCCAATTTGGGCTTGTAGCCAGCCATATGGGCGGCGGCCGGCTCTTAATGTAACCCCATCTCATCTTGCAAACTTGAAACAATAGGTGATTTTTCGTTCAACTACAAGATCTTGCGAATTGCGTGAAAGATGCGTGCTACACTACTAATACATCATAGAATGTTTTCTCATGTGAAATGATTTCTGTGTTTGTGACGTAGTAACAATAAAAACCATGTTTCCTGAAAACATTGAGGTTTTCTATTGTTTTGCAAACAGTTTCATGACGATGTACTTGATATTATATGTGAATGATGCGAGTAACAATGTTTATGGCTAGATGTACCTGTTTTTATGCATGGAGAAATAATAACATTGTTTTCTCATCTGTAGATACAGCATGATCACATAAGTTCTGACTCAGCCATACGAAGGTAAATATGAATTGATCGTTTTGACACCAAAGTTTTCAACTGATTTTCATTGATATCATGTTACACATCCAGTGTGTGTGTTTACATTTCATCTGGGATTGCTCATTGTCTTGTTTAAAAGTGAAGTAACATAGTGGTTACCTTCACAAATGATGCACTTGGACGTTCAAAGTCTTGTAATCAGAGCATAGTGCTGAATGTGAATGACATTTTGTGAAGACTTGTTTTTGCTTGTCTCATGATCTGTGTTAGTTTATGGCATGATTTCAATGAGATCTTGTTACATCTCTGAAGGTCACTTTCGATTCCATCGACTTTTTTTTTTTTTTTTCTTGTTTCAGTGGAGACGCTGCTAATGCTGTCTGTCACGTGATTGAAGCTATCTTTCTTCATGGACTTAAAGAGTCCTTTTCTAATAAGGTGATTCAGTCTTGTCTAACATTTGTAGTAATTATTTATGTCTAGTGTGTTAAAGATCAAGAGGGAATGCTTTTAGCGCTAATACTGACTTTACGTACAGAAGGTCAAATAAAAGCCATCTAGAAAAACACTGTGGTACATTAACTGGGGAAAACCAGTCTCCAAGTAGCTTATTGGTGATAAATTATTCAAGTCCCCTTAGCTCTAGGTTAGATTGACCAGGAAAGACAGTCTTTGATTGGCTAATGTGTGACAAATCATTCAAGTCCCCCTAACTCTAGGTTAGATTGATTAGAAAAGACAGTCTTTGATTGGCTAATGTGTGACAAATCATTCAAGTCCCCCTAACTCTAGGTTAGATTGACCAGGAAAGACAGTCTTTGATTGGCTAATGTGTGACAAATTTTTCAAGTTCCCCTAACTCTAGATTAAATTGTCCAGGAAAGCTGTTTAGATTGACTAATATGTGATGTATGATTCAAGTCCCCGAGCTTTTGGTTACATTGACCAGGAAAGGCAGCCTTAGATTGGCTAATGTGTGATAAATTATTCATGTCTCCCTAACTCTAGGATAGATTGACTAGGAAAGACAGTCTTTGATTGGCTAATGTGTGATAAATTATTAAAGTTCTCCTAGCTCTAGAATAAATTGACAAGCAAAGACAGTCTTAGATTGGCTAATGTGTGATAAATTATTCAAGTCTCTCTAGCATTACACTGGGGGACATTGACCAGGGAAGCCTACTGTCAATTCAATTCTAGAGCGATATCTTAGTGCATGTATGTAAATTCCTCAGTATCTTTTTGTGTTGTTATTATTATTGTTGAATCTGTTTATTTTTTAGTCTTGTGTTATGTGTGTTTTATTTTCTGGTTTTAGTTGTCAAGTTATTTTGGCTCTGGCAACACAGGAAGAGCTCCTCAACCGGTATGTCTGTCATCCTAGCTCAAATTAGTATTTGCATGATATATAATTTATAAGAATACTGATTCTGTATTTTCTGGGTCAGAAGTTTATAAGGCTGAAAATATTCTGTGTTATTTGTAATACTTTATCGCCAAGGTTAATTTTGTCAACATTTTCAAAATAAACACACCTAATTATTTTCCAAAATTGTTATCCGAACCTGTAGCTAATGTGAATTGGAATTTTTTTCCAAATTAACAAATAGTATTTTCACAAGTATTGACCTTGAAATTGAGTGTCCATAAAAAAGTGCATTCAATCCATTATGTAAATGTTGAAATGACCTAATTGATGTCATACATGTAATCATACCCAACTATCGCAGCTAACATGCACATGTCTTAATTTTCTCCAACGTGCAGTAACACTTTCAGTAGTGAAAGATTTCAACTAACCTACTGTATAACATGTTGAAAAAGCGACATCCTATTTTAGCGAATTGTAGTAAAATGACGTACTAGCAAAATGTTGATTTAGTGAATCTCTCACAATACAATGTCGCGTGCCAAAACAAATGCGCAGTTATCTGTCAAGTGTATAAGGAAGCGCCCAGATTATTACCTTATCTGACGTTGTTTGCCCGTCATTTTGAATTTATAATGAAGTCATTAGCGACATCTTCAATTAGCGAATTAGTTCTCTTGCTAAATTCGCTGAAAAGACATGCTCGCAAAAAGACATGTTTTACAGTATTTGCTTTCCCTTAATACTGCTCAGACTATTGGTGACATTTGACAGATTAATACAGAAATTTTCAAGGCTTAACTTTTCAATTCACTTCAACTCATCGAAATATGTAATACTATTACTAGTCTGTTAAATCTAGCGAGACTAGCTACTATTCAGTTGTCCGGATGGCAATTTCACTTGTCTATGACTGTCAGAATTATTTAAACATTGTACATCTGAATCGATCAGATCTCCCCCTTGTGTAAGTCCTTCTAATAGAGAAAATACAGTTCAGTATTGTCAGTGTGTATAGTACAGTGTATGCATGTGTTTGTCACACTCCTACGAATGGATGTTCTTCTAAACCTTTCAGAAAGACAAATCTGAAAATATACTATAGTTGCTGCTTTTCTCATTCTTTATGAATAGATAACTTTCGGGGTGATATGATGTAGCATTTTTATTCTATCAACATCCCACTTTATAATATACTTCTTCTTTAGGAATTCATTAAGGATGCTGTATACACTTTTTTTGCTTTGAAACCCAAAATTCTACTTTTTTGTATTTTTCAATGCTGGACTACAAGGAGCAAACACTGGGAAAGAACCAGATCGCATTGTTTTTTCAAGATAGCTAAATTATTATTTCTTCTTCAACTATCATGTAGATATGTATATTTCAATCAACACGGAATGGTCGTGAGAGTCGTCTGAAAAACTGTTTTGTTGCCAATGTTCTACTAAATTCGTTTATCCTTTGGTTTAATTATTTTTTTACCGAAAATGGCTTTCTGTGTTTACACAGAAATCACGTGACTATACACATCCATAGACACACTATCTTGTCTATTTCATATCCAGTGTGAAATAAGCTTTCCATCAATATATAGCATTGTGTGGTTCAGTAAATATTTTATATGAAAATATCAGATTAAAAAATCAATACCAAAAACGTATACAGCATCCTTAATTCATTAGACAACTAAAATCTATATTTAGATTTCATATAAGTTGCAGTAAGTATACATCTAAAAGTCAACATTCTGGTTCATTCTCTCAGAGATCATATACTTTTGCTATTGTGAGGATCACCTGTCATCATGTCCATGAACCATAGGTGGTTTCCTCTCTTTCTCCAAATAAGACTTATAAAACTTTTTTTATTTTAGAGTTTCTGGCAGTTTTTGTTGAGTTTTACTCACAAAGATGTGGTTAAACAGTTGAGCCATCTTGCTCACATTACAACAGAGGTTGGACAGTGCAGGGTAGGTATTTATAAAGTTCCTATTGTAATAACCAACAACAGTGATTGACCCTCATCACAGTGTGGTGATGTGGTTTTAATTTTTTAGCTCCGCTGTCGAATTTGGTGAGTGGAGCTTATCATACACTAAGTGATTGTTCGTCGTCTGTGTCAACTTTTTAGCTTCGCTGTCGACTTTGTCGAGCAGAGCTTATCATATGAGTAATTGTCCGTCGACCGTGTCAATGTTTTACTTTTTCGATTTCTTTTTGAAAACTACAAGCCTGAATGCTTTGATACTTGGTGTGTATGTACCTGGGGTAGACCTCTCTTAGATTTGTTCATTTCATGATGATATCTTCAATTCTATAATTTTGGTGAATATTTTTGTAATTTTTGGTAAAAAGTGATATTTTCGACTTGTTAAAAACCGCAAGTCCAATTGCTTTGATATTACATATATAGGTACTACATGTGGACCTCTCTCAGATTTGTTCATTTTGTGATGATATCTTTAATTCTCTAATTTTGGTGAATATTTTTGTAGTTTTTGATAAAAAGGTATTTTTTTTTACTTCTTGTTGAAAACCGTAAGTCTGCTTGCTTTGCTATTATATATATAGGTACTACATGTGGACCTCTCTCCGATTTTTGACTCCCATGTGCGAAGCACAAAATGGGAGTCTTTGCAGTTAGTGTGTCTGTATGTGTGTATGTGTGTGTGTATGTGTGTATGTGTGTCCGACTGTTCCACTGCTATCTCAAGAACCATACATCAGTTTTTGATGAAACTTGGTGCATAGATGCTCTGGGCCAATGCGCAGATTTGATTAGGTTTTGGTAAAAATCCATGCTCGTTAATTACCTAATTTGCATGATAATTAGCTAATTTTTAGCTGTTCTATGACTGTTCCACTGATATCTAAAGAACCACTCATTGGATTTTGATGAAACTTGGTACATAGATGCTCTGAACATATGCGCAGATTTGATTAATTTTTGGTAAAAATCCGTGCATATTAATTACCTAATTTGCATGATAATTAGCTATTTTTTAGTGGTTCCATGACTGTTCCACTGATATCTAAACAACCACTCATTGGATTTTGATGAAACTTGGTACATAGATGCTCTGAACTAATGCTAGGTTTTGATTAGTTTTTGGTAATAATCCGTGGATACTAATTACCTAATTTGCATAATGATTAGTCAATTTTCGGTTTTTCCACTGATATCTCAAGTACTAATCATCACATTTCAATGAAACTTGGTACATAGATGTCATACGACACTGCACAGACCTGATAGTTTTTATGGTAATATCAGTACATATTAATTACCTAATTTGCATAATTAATTAATTTTCAGCATTTGATAGTAGTTAGCATTAC